CAGGGGCTAGGAGGACGGAGCAACGGATGGTTATTACTTAATGGTTACAGAGTTTCTGTTTGGGGTGAAGAAAACTTCAATTTTCCAAACAGAGGAGTGGTGATGACTGCACAACACTGTGAACATACTTAATGACACTGAATTGTACTTTTTTTTTTTTTGTACTCTTAAAAATGGTTAAAATGGGGGAGTTCCCTGGTGGCCTTGTGGTTAGCATTCCAGGCTTTCACTGTCGTGGCCCGGGTTCAATCCCTGATTGGGGGAACTGAGATCCTGCAAGCCGAGCAGCATGGCACAGCCAAACAAACAAAAAAAAAGGGTTAAAATGACTTTAACCTAAAACTATAAAACTCCTAGAAGCTTAACAGAGTATAAGCTTCAGGGCACTGGACTAAGCAGTGGTTTCTTGGATAAGGCACCAAAAGCACAGGCACCAAAAGCAAAAACAGACAAATGAGACTCCATCAAACTTAAAATTCTGTACTTCAAAGGACACAACAGAGTGAAATGGCATGAGAGAAACTATGTGCAAATCATATATATCTATTAAGGGGTTAATATTCAGAATATTTAAAGAACCACAACTCACAAGAACGACAACAACAAAAATCTGATTTTTAAAAATGGGCAAAGGGGGCTTCCCTGGTGGCGCTAAGAATCCGCCTGCCAATGTAGGGGTCACAGGTTCGAGCCCTGGTCCAGGAAGATCCCACATGCCGCTGAGCAACTAAGCTCGTGCACCACAACTACTGAGCCTGTGCTCTAGAGCCTGCAAGCCACAACTACTGAGCCCACGTGCCACAATTACTGAAGCCCATACACCTAGAGGCCACGCTCCACAACGAGAAGCCACCGCAATGAGAAGCCCACGCACTGCAACAAAGAGTAGCCCCCGCTCACCGCAACTAGAGAAAGCTGGCGCACAGCAACAAAGACCCAATGCAGCCCCCCCAAAAAAAAAATTAAAAATGGGCAAAAGACTTCTGTAGGCATTTCTGCAAAGCTGACATACAAATGGCCATCAAGCATATGAAAAAATGTTCAACATCGTTAGTCAGAGAAATGCAGATCAAAATCACGAGAGATCACCTCACACCCATTAGGACCGTTACTATTAAAGAAGAAGAAAAGGGAATTCCATGGCGGTCCAGTGGTTAGGACTCCGAGCTTCCACTGAAGGGGGTATGGGTTCGATCCCTGGTTGGGGAACAAAGATCCTGCATGTCACGTGGCGTGGCCAAAAAAAAAAAGAAGAAGAAGAAACAAACAAAACGAATGTTGGTGAGGATGCGGAGATATTAGAATCCTTGTGCACTGTTGGTGGTGTTGTGAAATAGTGGGATCATTATGGAAAACAGTATGGAGGTTCCTCAAAAAATTAAAAATAGAACCACCATATGATCCATCAATTCACTTCTGAATATTATCCAAAAGAACTGAAAGAAGGGGGACTTCCTTGGTGGTCCAGCAGTTAAGACTCCATGCTCCCAATGCAGAGGGGCCCGGGTTTGATCCCTGGTCAGGGAACTAGATCCCACATGCATGCCGCAACTAAAGATCCGCACACTGCAACTAAGACCTGGAGGAGCCTAATTAAATAAATACTAAAAAAAAGAAAAAAGAATTGAAAGAAGGGTCTCAAAGAGAGATATCTGCACACCCATATTCATAGCAGCACTAGTCACAATGGTCAAAAGGTACAACCTGTGTTCATCAACAGATAAATGGATAAACAAAATATGGTATATACATACAACAGAATATTATTCAGCCTTTGAAAGGAAAGAAATCCTGTCACATGCTACAACATGGATGAACCTTAAAGATATAGTAAGTGAAATGAGCCAGTCACAAAAAGCCAAATACTGTTGTGAATCCACTCATACCTGAAAGTAGTCAAATTCATAGAAGCAGTAAGTAGAATGGTAGTTATGAGAGGCTGGGGTGGGAGGAAGGAGAAAATGGGAGTTGTTTAATGGGTATAGAGTTTCAGATTTAGAGGACGAAAAGGTTCTGGAGATCTGTTTCCCATTAATATGAATGCACTTAATGCTACAAAACTATACACTCAAAAATAATTAAGATGCTAAATTTTAGGTTATGTGTTTTTTACATTAAAAATGTAAATATTAAAAAATGGTTAAAATGGAAAATTGTTATATATATTTTACCACAACTTTTTAAAATTAATAATGCAATATACCAAAAACTGTTGAAGTGCATGGTATGTGAATTATATCTCAATAAAGCTGTTAAAAAAAAAAGGCAGAGGACAGAGTTTCACCAAATCCAGTGAGCTTCCCTCACTGGTTTACAGAAAACAGAGCAATTTGTTGGAAGTACCCAAAGCCTTGAGCAGAGGAGCCTACACTCCTGCTTCCTCCAACTTCTTCAACCCGGCCTCCAGGTGACAGCTCTTCTCTTACCCTTTCCAAAGCACACCACCACCACCTTGTAACTTCCCAGTTCCTTATTACATCTGGCCTCACAGGAAAATTAAGTTAAAGAAGCTGCAGTGACAGTCACAGGAGGGGGCACGGAATTCACGACTCACACTCCACGTTTAGCAGCAGAGCCCAAATATTAAAAAAAAAAAAAAAAAATCACACAGTAGACGTACAATAAACGTTAGGTCTCTGCCCTTCCTCTCCTCTTCTTCAAGCCCAGCATGTTTAAAACAGCAAATTCTCTGCTCCCATGCTGGGATATCCACTGGCCTAACTCATATGTGCTGGAGCTTAAACACAGGGCATAATTTAAAATGTGGTTGTCAATGCCTATCACCTACTACTAAACTTAAAAACATATCACAAAACTTTAACTAGGATAAGCGTATTTTGTTAAAATAATAAACATTTCTACAGCATATAAAAAGGATAATAAGATAAAGACCACATATATTAACAATCACCTCTGAGTGGTGGGACTAAAGGTGAGTTTCTCTCTTTTTTCTGGCTTATCTGCATTTTTAATAATGAATCTGTTACTTCTGTAATAACAAAAATAACTGGAAATCTTCAGAAAAATAAATCATTCTGGCTCAAAATTTCACTACCTCTTATACTACAGACACTTTCACACATTACTGCACTGAAGCTGAATTGGCACCATGTGAAACAGACACAATTTCCTCCATTTTGCAGATGAGAATGAGCTGAGGCTCAAAACAGTGACTTGGTCAAAGTTTTATAGCTAGTAACAGACCAAGGATTACAATTCAGGCCTTCAACTCCAAGCCTGGGGTCCTTTCCATTCCATCACATCTTAAAGGACAATTTGCATTATTTTTCATGATACTGTATTAAAAAAAAAAAAAACCCTATGTTGAAACTGTTTTAAGTGCACCTGCTACATAATCTTGGGCAAATAACCTCGGGAGCCTCAGTTTCCTCATCTGAAAAGTGAAGTGGTTGGAAAAGAAAGATATTCTATCTCACCAGCTAATCTAGCCTCACCAGCTAATGGATTTTAAGTCTAGATACCATCTAAGGAGAAAATAACCCCGTGGGCAAAAATGAATGGTTGGAGAGAAGTTCAGGCCTATGCTCTGGGCCAAGGGCCATTGTTAATGGAAACAGGTGGTGGACAGTCAAGACGAAAGAACCGCTGGGGAAACCATAAACTTCCAGGTTAAAACAACAGCTGAAAGCTCCTGCTTCGCTTTCCTAACAGCAACGCTTCAATCCTGGCTAACTCATGATTAGAAACCACATACTGTAAGTAAAGCTAGAAGAATATAAAAACACGGGGGGAGGGGAGGGACCTGTAGCAATAGTTTACGCACGCTATGGTAACTGGATGATTTTCCAAGTGGACTCTTTAATGTTAAAACAGAAAAAGCCCTTGGTGGTTCTCAGAGACGACTCTTCCTCAGCAAGAATTTAAGGAGAAACTGAAAACTGCGTACCACTCTGAGAGATGCCACACTTGTGGAAAAGAGCCAACCCAACACTTGTGGAAAAGGTGAAAGAATGAAATTAAAACTTCTTCGATCTACAGAGAATCAAAGAAAGCGAAGAGACCTTTCTTAAGGGTGAAGTTCCTGTAAACGATTCATCGGGTACCTGTTACCTCCTACACCGCGGACATTATAAAGCACTCCACACTATCGGACACTATTATACAGCCTTCTCCCTCGAAGGTAATAAAACTGCAGAATTAACTTTGCTGGCGAGAAAAAGATTCCATTTTGCTAAAGCAGGCTCCGAGCAAAATCGCACCACCTTCCCCTCAACTATGGGGATGAGCCTAAACCAAGGAGAAGCTACTTAGAGCCAGTGCAACCGTCTTAGAGAATTAAAACAACATCCTGCTCCGAGGACCACAACCAAGACACCAGCGGCTTTAAATCCAAAACCAGGTCCTTAGCGAAAAAAGCTCCTCACCGTGCTCTCCGCGTTCCCCGTTGCGAGAATCCAGCCCCGCTACTAGGCCATAACGGGTGAGCACCTGACGTGGGGGGGAGGGCGAGCCAAGGCCCTAGCGGATGTGGGACGAGGAAAGGGGGGCCCTCGAAGCTCCTGAGGAGAAGCGCAACCCTCCAGAGGCGGGAGTCCTAGGGAACCCCCCCCCAAGGGTAAGCACCAAGAACACGTGGGGCGACAGGAGCAGGGAAGGGGTGTCCGGAAGCTGTGTCTGGCACGGCGGCCGGAAAAAGGAGGACGGAGCTATCCCTGGGCACGGAACGGAGCCCTCACAGCCCGGAGAATGAAGGCAAAGGGCGCGGAGAGAGGGGCAAGGCCACGAGGAGGGCGGGTCTCCCTGGGCGCGGGGGCACGCGCCAGGCCGGCGCGGCGGGACGCGGGTAGCTGAGGACCCCGACACAAGGCAGGAGATCGCTGACCTGCCTCCGAGGCGCGGGGAACCAGGAACGGGCGCGCCCAGAGGGCCCTGTGACCCGCGGCCGCCCGGACCGGACCCGCCCCGCGGCGCCTCCCTCCTGCCTCTTTCGCTCCCTCCCTCCCACCCGCGGCCCGTTATCCCGCGGCCGCCGCACTCACCAGCGGCTGCACCTGAGCCCGCCGCTGCCTCAGCTGCTGCCTGAGCCTTCGCTGCCGCCGCCGCCGCCGCCTCCTCACTGCTGAGGCCGAGTCCCGGGGGAGCCTCCGCGTCCCTCCGCCGCCGCCGCTGCCGCCCGAGCAGATCACCCCAAAATGGCGGCACTTCCGGCACCTACCACCGGCGGGGAGGGCCGACGAGGAGGGGGAGGGCGGCTTGAGGGAACGTACCACCGTGGTGCGGCCGGCAGCGCCGATCCGAGCGGAGCAATGCTCAGGGGCGGGTCGAGCGCCCGGCGCTGCAGCGCCCCCTCGGGCTGGGGAGTGGAGAAGCAGCACCGTAGGAGCCCCCGGGGCCTCGGGCGGAACCCTCAGCTCAAGGAGCGGCAAGGGCACGTCTCTTTGTCTCGGAGCTCTGCTGGAGGAATACTCCCGGCCTGAGACCCTGAAATTCTCGGCTCTCCACAGTTCTGGATGAACTAGTGGGCAAGGATCTCTACTTGGCACTGAATATGCGCATAATAAAATATTTGATAAATGAATGAATAAGTGAATGGGATGGTGCTTGGCCAGCGCTGGGCACATGACACACCCTCCTTTCTACCCCAGCAGATAAGCAACAGGATCCAGGCCTTCCTTCTCTGCTGAGATGTGGAATGTGAGTGTATTGCAAGCTTTCAGAGTTAGGGGAATGCTTTCTAGCAGCATGATCAGCTGTGTGAACTCACAACCTTGCAAAAATTCTTGCAGCGCCCGGAAGCTCATAAGTGTTCTGTTAAGAGACTGATGTTCCAGCCCTAACCTGCTTCTCCCCCGACTAAAAAAATAAATAAATAAATAAATAAATTCAATAACCCAGGTTAGGTCCCTGAAGACCTCCTTCAGAGTGACCCAGGAATCCCAGGATCTAGGTGGAATGCGTTCGTTCGTTCGTTTAAAAGGTCATTTATTCCACAACTTCTACACCTTGTGGGACAGTAAAATGCAGATAGAGAAAGAAAACTTACTTCAGGGACCTTCTGGCCCCAAACATGCAAATAACTCATGGGTTTGCAAATGACTTCTCTGTAACATCTGGCTTCCCAGAGCAAATAATTCTTCCACCCACAAATACTGATTATACCCAACCTTACCACAGAAAAATAAGTGGACTCCCAAGCAGAAGCCTCAAAGGCTTTCCCATGTGTTGGAAGCACCTCTTTCCCCCGTGGGGGGGAAAAAAAAACTAACCACAGTGTTTCTGGTACCATATAAATCTGAACAATTAGCCCCTAAATTGTACACTATCATATTCCTTAGTTGTATGGTGTAGTTTATCATTTTATATACACTTGTAATACTGATATATGATCTTGTTCTTGTTAATAGTTTTATGTGTAATTTACTGAAAACATCTTACATTTATAGACCATTATAGCTTATAGAATGTCACATACATTACCACAATTAATTTTATATTTGTCTCCCAGCTGCTGTAGATGGTAGAAACCTTTTTTTTTTTTTTTTTTTTTTGCCGTACGCGGGCCTCTCACCACTGTGGCCTCTTCAATTGCGGAGCACAGGCTCCGGACGCGCAGGCTCAGCGACCATGGCCCACAGGCCCAGCCGCTCCACGGCATGTGGGATCTTCCCGGACTGGGGCACAAACCCGTGTCCCCTGCATCGGCAGGCGGACTCTCAACCACTGCTCCACCAGGGAAGCCCTGGTAGAAACCTTTAAAGGAGAGAATCTGTCCCGTTCTTTTTTGTGCCATAGAATCATCCAGATATCCATGTGGTTCACCTCCTCACCTCCTTCAGGTCTTGACTTAAATGTCACCTTCTCAGTTGGGCCTTCCCTGACCACCCTATTTAAAGTTACACACACATACACCTGTGTTTCCAGTCCCTCTTTGCCACTTTGTTTCTATCCAAAGCACTTATCACCATCTAACATAGTATATTTTGTACTTCATATTTTACATATTTTATTTGTAGTCTTCTCACACCAGAAGGTTAAACTCTATGGGGATAGGGATCTTGTCTGTTTTATATCCTCTGGGCCTAAAATAATGCCATGTAGGTGCTCAATAAATACTGGGGGTTTTTTTAATTTGATTTCCATATATTGTGAAATGATTACCACAATAAGTTTAATTAACATCCATTATCTCATACAGATACTTTTTTTCCTTGTGATGAGAATCTCAAGATCTACTCTGTTAACAACTTTCAAATACATTGTAAAGCTATGTTAACTATTGTCATCATGTCGTACATTACATCCCTAGTACTTATTTATCTTATAACAATAAGTTTGAACCTTTTGACTACCTTCATCCAACTCCCCAATTCATCAATAAATATTGTTGAATTAATGAATAGACATACCTTGGTGCTGAGTATGAAAAAAGAGAATGAATTGTTTAGCATCCAGAAACTTCCTGCAACCTACCATGAGCTAAATGAGAGCAGGGACCACACCTATTTTCTTATCCTCTTGTCTCTCCAATGCTTTTCACAGTGTCCAGCTCAACAGATATTTCTCAAAGGGCGACCAGTAACCTTCCCGATTTTACCTGCCCCTTGACTTAGGGCCACTCCTTGCAGGGCGCTAGTGTCATTCTTGCATCTAGTTACCAAGCAAGGCCAGAGTCCATTACCCCAGAGTCGGGTGGAAGAACAATTACATGAAGAACACAGATTCTTCTAACTTCAAAGGGCTTCCCAATATAGACAAAACACTAAACGGTCCAAATACAAAAAAGCCTGATGTGAGATATAAACGAGTATGAAAAGCTTCCTGCTTCATTTTTTGCCTTCCAAATTGATTAAGATTTGTTTTTAAAAATGTTAACAAGGGTTCAGAGAAGCAAGCCTTTTCCAAGTGCTGGTGGGAGTAAAATTCAGATAGTCTGTTTGGAGGAATTTGAAAGTTTACATATCTTTCTAGGAGCTTTTCTTAAGAAAATAATCAGGATAAGAGCAGAGATGTACTAGTACTTCCCTGGTGGTCCAGTGGTTAAGACTTGGACGCTCCCAATGCAGGGGCATGGGTTCCAACCCTGGTCGGGGAACTAAGATCCCACACACCACACCATGCAGCCAAAAAAAAAAAAAAAGCAGACATGTACTGATATATTATGGATCATAACATTGTTGGAATAGCATAAAATCTGATAAAAAAAGTATATACTTGATATACTTTATCAAGTATATCATACACTTGATAAAGTATATGATATAGCCATAGCCTAGAATATTATATATATTTTCAAATAATGATACAGAAAAATATTTAATTGTGGGCAAATGTTCATGACACATGCTTAGTGAATAAAGCAGGTAACAAATTAACAGGTACAGAACAATCCCATTTTTGTTAGAGAATGTGTTCATTGAAAGAGACAAAACCTAGAAAGAATATTTATTAAAATATTAACAGTGCATCCTCATCATCACTCGGTATTATCAGTCCTTTAATTTTAGTCATTCTGGTAGAAGTGGAGTGATACTTTACTGTGGTTTAAATTTCTGTTTCCAGACTTCCCTAGTGGCGCAGTGGTTAAGAATCCGCCTGCCAATGCAGGGGACACGGGTTTGAGCCCGGATCCAGGAAAATCCCACATGCCGCGGAGCAACTAAGCCCATGAGCCACAACTACTGAGCCTGTGCTCTAGAGCCCGCGAGCCACAGCTACTGAAGCTCATGCACCTAGAGTCCCTGCTCCGCAAAAAGGGAAGCCACCACAATGAGAAGCCTGTGCCCGCTCACCGCAACTACAGAAAGCTGGAGTGCAGCAACAAAGACCCAAAGCAGCCAAAAATAAATAAATAAATAAACTTATATAAAAAAAATTGTAGGACCTTCCCTGGTGGCGCAGTGGTTGAGAGTCCGCCTGCTGATGCAGGAGACACGGGTTCGTGCCCCGGTCCGGGAAGATCCCACATGCCGTGGAGCGGCTAGGCCCGTGAGCCATGGCCACTGAGCCTGCGCGTCCGGAGCCTGTGCTCCGCAGCGGGAGAGGCCACAACAGTGAGAGGCCCACGTACCGCAAAAAAAAAAAAAATACTCTTAAAAAAAATCTGTATTTCTGAAAAGTGGGTTTGGGGATAAGGAGGGAACTTTTCAGGTTATATACTTTAAATAAAGCAAAAACTGTAAACTATCTTTTGACACAGTAATTCCACTTTTAGGAACCTATCCTAATATAGTAGTTCTAAATATAGAAAATACAGAAAAAAATTTCATGCTAGAAATGTCTTATAACAAAAATTTGGAAATATCCTGTATGTCTAATAATAGAATGATCCCATTATGGTATACTAATTAGGTTTATTAGAAATGATAAATACAATGTAATAATATTGAAAATGCATATGGGGACTTCCCTGGTGGTCCAGTGGTTAAGACTCCATGCTCCCAATGCAGGGGGCCCCAGTACGATCCCTGGTTAGGGAACTAGATCCCGCATGCCACAACTAAAGACCTGGCACAGCCAAGTAAATAAATAAATATTAAAAAAAAAAAAAAAAAGACAGTGCTTATGGCACATTTAGTGGGAAAAAAATCATGATACAAAACTTTATCAACATGACACTAATGATTTTTTTAAATGGTACACATAAATCACATAGCATTATCATATGGCCCCAAAATTCCACTCTTATATAGAAATCCAAGAAAAATTAAAGCATAAATTCACACAAAAACTTGTATATGAATGTTCACAGGGACATTATTCAAGATAACCAAAAAGTGGAAACAGCCCAAATGCCTATCAACTGATAAACGGAGAAACAAAATGTGGTATATCCATACAATGAAATATTATTTGGCAATAAAAAGAAATACAGTACTGATATTGCTATACCATGGGTGAATCTTGTAAACATTATGCTAAGTGAAAGAAGCCAGACACAAAGGACACATATTATATGATTCCATTTATTTGAAATGTCCAAAACAGGCAAATCTATAGAAACAGAAAATAATGGGTACCTAGGCCTGGTGGGTTGAGGGGAAATGGAGAGTGACTACTAATCGGTATGGGGTTTCTTTGGGGGATATGAAAATATTCTAAAACTGATTGTGATGATGGTTGCACAACTCTGCAAATATACTAAAAACCATTGAACTGTACACTATAAATGGGTGAATTGTACGGTATGTGAGTTATATCTCAATAAAGCTGTTATAAAAAAAATTGTAGGGGCTTCCCTGTGGCGCAGTGTATGGGGTTTCTTTGGGGGATATGAAAATATTCTAAAACTGATTGT